AATCTCAACGTTTCAACAACCAAACCCTAGAAAATTCAAATCGAATTTTCAAAAAAAAAAAAAAATCAATGAGATTCAAGTGAATCTCAGTCCAATTTCTGTCAAGGACGACTTCTGGTAAGCGGTGACAATGACCAAAGGCTCATGGCGGTGGCTGCAAGCCATGCCCATGGTGGTCGTCGACAAGGATGCCATTAATGGCATCGAGGCTTTTCTAGGTTGCAAAGCCTAAAGCTTCTAGCTTTGTGGCTTGTTTTTCTCGGCTCGAAGCAGGAAGCCCAGCGACTTGGCTTCCAGTCGTCGCCCTTAGGGTTCCCCACAAAACCCTAATTTTTTTTTAATTCAATTACAGAATATAAATTTAATTTCAATTGCATGCATATTCAACATATAATTCAATGCATGAGAAAATATTTGATGCAATTCATGGCAATATCAATTCACATAATTCAACAATTATGGATATAATGCATACACAATTTATGAAGAATCTACAATACGAAAAATGTAAAGTTGGGGTCATGCATTATGGTGAATATTCAAGCTATCAGGGCTACAAAAATATCGAGATAAAAATCATTGTTTTGAAAGAACATGATTGCGTGACGATATTGATGAATTGGTTTGATGCAAAAAACTTCCATGTCAGATTCCTAAGCGAAGTGATATGAGCGTGCTGATAATGTGTTATGGCCTATATTTAACTGACAAGGGAGAGAGAGGGCATGGCAAAGAGAAAGAGTGGAGAAAGATGTGTTTGTAGAATTGTGTAAAGGATGTGTTATTCCCCTTACGCAGTGCCTTTATTTATAGTAATAAGGGAGGCAAGAAATCCTTCTCGTCCAAGGGATACAAGTCATAATAGGGAAAAATAACTACAACTAAATCTAATTTAGGATTTACACGATCACACTTAAATAAGAAGTCTATAACAGGTTAGCAATTATTGTACAATTTAGTTGCCACCTCACAAGCATTCATTAATATATTCTTTCAAAGATGTACCCAAAGAAAATTTCTTTATATTTTAGACATAATAAATAGACATCACAACCAACATAAAGTTGTCAAACAGAATTTCAACTATGAGTTACACTTACTTTAGAATTTATCATAATTAATTTCAAGCTTGATTGCTACCAAATTTATACTGATCAAAATAGACACACTAATCTTCATAAAACAAAAAGATAGAGCTGTTTTGGGTCAAAATAATAGTCTAAAGTCACGTCTCAAAAAGACCAACACAATCTGCCAGTAAAACTGTCTATACGAGTACTTGTTACTAGTAAATTCACCATAATTAAAATAAATGGAAGAAAATTACGAAAATTTGCAGACACATAGTAGACATCTATATGTTGAACATGTCCAAAATTCAGGTCATTTGGTGACCATTAGACGTGTCATTCACCCGATTTAAATCAAAACACGCAATCTACCAGAAACAATTATATGCATCTATCATGAATTTATGCATCCATAACAAATTCAATTTCATATCATTTCAATTTCAATGTCCAAAGGAAACTCAAGTAGTCAAATTTCATCCTCTAAACCGACATCATAGTTTAATTTGAAAAGATTTACAAGCATAAGACTTAAACAATGTGTACCTTAGCAATCCTTGATTAACCTTCATGGGTCCAATACTTTGCATCAACAAGTCTCATGAAGAGACAAAATACGTCATGATGCAACCGATTTCCATGCCTTAAAACTACAACCTATTATGGGCTCATAGTGGAAATATTTTAACTGATGGCATGGAACTTTATCCCCAATAAACTTCATGAAACTAAATTCATTTACACCTGTAGGCAAGAAAATTAACTAGTTTCTAGTACTAGATTCTATGTCACAAAAGTACCTTCATGAAAAACTTCAACACCTGTAGGCAAGATGAAGATTTTCACAACTTTTGTGAAATAAAACCCATACTATGCCATCTTAATTAAACTAACAGAAGTAATCCACACCTGTAGGCAAGAAGATTATCCTTTTTATTCTAATCAAGATGCAAAGTTGACCGAAGTAACTCAAAAATACAGTCTCATCATCAACTAAGCCGTTGCAGCTTGCTTTAGTTGAAAAGACATTTATCAACTCCACCCTGAAACAATACAAAAGTCACATGGATTAATTAACCATAAGTGACAAAATTACGATAACCTGATTCAAGCTTCGAGTCTTGCTAACAAATGGCACTAATTCCTTCATGACTCCCTTTGACATTAAATTAATCTCAAGAAACCTGACAACATACTTGAAAAAGATTAATCACATATAGAACACATTTTATTCCACCACAAGAATGTCAATACTTATCATCATGGAGTCAATTACTTAATAGAAATACTTTATGTAATGAGAAAGAACAATACATTCCTTTAATTTAAAAGCTAAATCGCTCAAATATATATCAAACAGGTCCCTTTCCTTTTATATATTTTTTTCTGTAGTACAAAACTACTAAACATAGTATTAAAATCATGCATTAGCATTGTAAATACCAAATTAAATAAAAGGAACAAACAAAATTATTTTCTTCCATAGAAAACATCTCCAATATATGCCCTACATTAGCTTTGAAAAGTTTCTTTTCTTCTCCCCTTATGGCACATAAAAATTTACTAATCAAAATACTGTTTAAATTCTTTAGGCATAGGAATAACCACAAACAATAATACATGTTTGAAATTCATGCTTATCAATTAAGTTGCATACTTTGAATGGATTACATACCCCATACCTTCATATGTTCACCACTTCTTTGTAAACATATATATAATCACATGACCACCATAATTCTCATATAAGAATAAATGAGAATTGTCACATAATTACTACAAACCTAATTCATTTAGTATTCTTGTCCTTGTCACTGGATACTTTCTGTCATTCTCAGTCAATCCACAAGTTATGGAGTTATCAATTTCATAGTTAACTAGTCATGTACAATTAAATGACTATACTGAGATAGGAAAGCAAAATTGTAGACAAAACTAATTTGATTAGTCATGCAAATTCCTTATGGAGTTATCATTATAAAGCTTACTTGAATTAATCCCAATCATACTTAAGTACTAGTATACTGCATTACTAATCTACACGTGTGTCTTTACATGAGATCATCGCAAGCTTAAAGCAATATAGGACAACCCAATCCCTTTAATAAAACACACCATATGTCAATTTTGCTCCATGTTTGCATACTTAAAATTGAATCCATATTAGATATTTCCTACAGCAACCAACGACATGGCTATTTGATTCAGTCTATATATACTTCCTACACATAATCATGTAATGCAAAAGGAAAACAGAACCTGCAACAATCTGTGAGGCATTTGAAGGGTGGTTAGTGTCCCCTTGTCGCCTGTCCACCCAGGACGCACCTCACACAGGTGTTCTCGCGTGTGGTAGTAAAAAAAACCCTCTAAACCTGCGGCTGGAGCTTTTGATTCCAGCAAGCTCGCTCTCATGTGGCACTAACAAAATTAGCCGCGAACAAACAAGATAGATTTGACATTTACATACTTCTTGGCATGTCTGCATATGCCATTTGCCGACACTAATGCAATTATTTCTTGTTAAATTGGAGTATCACCTCAAGCCATTTTGTAGAGAACAAATCAGTGAATGTGTAATAGAAGTTTATGGCAACCAAATTATATCTTAACGGTACCTTTACTGAAGTAATAATTCAAATAAATTCCAAAACCTTAAATTTATCATTGCTCTTCCTGATCGAAATGAAGTATATTAACATATACCAGATTAAAAATTGATAATCTCAATTCTTAGTCAAACACATAAATCGTGTGCCTATTTTTATACAGTTGCCAAACATAAAACAATTTGATCCATATTCATGGCATACTTAACTGAAACATGGTATTCAATGTATGTACATGCTCTACAATAATTAGCATATCGCTCATGCAAGTATATCTTTATCTTATTACCAATTTAAGCTTTCAGGGATCAACCCAAATTATATATCAACCAAAATACCCTAAACCATCATGAAAATCAGAGTCAATGAAACAAATTATTTTGCTTCGGTAGATGACTTCGTTCTGCTTGCTAATTGGAGGGGACTCTTCAGTAAGGTCAGAACAAATATAGCACGCTTACAAAAATTGAGATCATCAGTGGCACATGGTAAATCATTCCAACCAAAACATTAGCATGAAAATTGAAATAGAACGAAACTGCTATTCTTCTCAGTGCCTTGTTCGTGGTTTTATACTTGTGACTTCATGTGTCCCTAACGCAAGTTATTTTTAATGGCTTAATATGGCTGGTCAAAAGGAATCACTTTGAACTATATTTGAAATAGAAAAACCTCCCATGATTTCCATTGTAAAATAGTTATGATACCATGATTTATATACAAGGATTGATGCCACGATTTGCTGCTATATCCGTGATTAATTTTGTTTTTGGATTCGTGCCATAAAATTATTAAAAATTCTTTACTAAAACCGAATGGTTATATAACCTTTTTACAATCATCAATTGCACTGATTGATACAACATGGTGGTGTTGCCAAGTATATGCAATTATATGCGGAAACGTACTGATCCTGTTTCAAAGGAGGTCCGGCATGGTGGTGTTGCCAAGCATATGCAATCACAACTTGGATTAAACACATGTAGTTGATGAGAATATTATCACTACAACAAAAATGGTCACTGTGTACAATAAATTATATGTGCCCTTTGAGGCCGAAGAGCACCAACATATGTGCCCATGGACCAATAGCAACAGTGCAGCAACTATATTTGTATTTGTGCCCTCTATGGGCGTCACCTTTGGTAAAAGGGCACAATAGACTGTTTGGTGCTCAAAGAGGTCGGCAAAATGGACCACTATTTGTGCCTTGTTTCTGACAACTTGTCAGATAACCTTTTCCAAACAAGTTGGCACTTCATATTGTAATTGTGCCAAATGAATTAAATATTAAAAAAAAAATCAAAATTTGAAACTAAAATTGAGGAAATGAAATTTTTTAATTTTCTTAAAATGAAAAGACCTACAACACATTCCCAATCTCACATACATAATGTAATGTTCCATATTTTATCTCTAATACAATAAAACTTGAAAGCACATATTTTTGGACAGATGCCTTTTCCGCAGCAACCCTTGCACCTCATCAGGAGCCATAACAAATATAGTCGAATTCAAAACAAAATCAGTCCAAAATTACACCTAAAATGGAGTTAAGTTGAAATCAATACGTAAAAGTTTCAGATCTGCCATATCAAAGATTCACCTCTTTTTCCAACTTGGTGGATAGTGCAATCATCTTCCTGAAATCCCAATGAAAGTGAAAATGAAATAAAAAAAATGAAAGGACCTATTTCCAATCATGTTCAAGGACCAAAACTTTCAATCAGCATTAAGAACTCCATAGCAGTGATGCATTGCTACACTTTGTTATACCAAATTACAGCGAACAAAATATGCAACTAAACTGAGCAGCTAAACCATCATCACTAGCAAACAAGATGTACAAAACAATAAAAGTTTGGACAATCATTGTTATGACATTAATTTCTAAGAAAGATAGAAACTGCTAAGAACCTTATAGGTTCTGCAACGCACAAGCTAATAAATAAGTATTTTGAAATCTAATTTTCAGCTTTAGTGAAGTCTTTCATGTTTCCATACAGAAAGATAAGATTCATGGAGCTGTTTAGTTTCTTAAGACTGCAGGTTTCCTCATTGTTCAGCCTCTCCTAAGAGCAACCTAAACACTTAACTACAGCTAAAAACTTGCAACAAAGCCCTCAAGTGGGTACTTGTAGGCTGTACCAATGTAATATATAGTCCATCCCTCTAAAATCCTTCCCCACTATTAGTTGTGTATAAATAGCTAAGAAGCTACAACATAACAATAGCATATGTTCATTTCTAACAATAAAATCATCCAGTAAGAAACATACTCCTTATTAGACATCGTAGTGTTTTAAGGAGTGAAAACTCAAATCCGATCTTCACACTTCTGCATGCACTTTTATTATCAACATAACATGATCATCAAGAAGTTAAATGAAGATAACAAATTAAATTTATGTTGATTTGCTAATAATGAAACAAGTAACCAACATACTTCATAAGTGATGTTTATTTGCCCCAATTGTCAAAACCACAGCTCTCCTGCAAGGCATCAAAGAAGAAACCTCTTTTCCCTGAAAGCAAAAACAGTTGGGATTAAAAAGAAAAAATTGACGGGCCTGGTAACAGTACAAAAAATCAATCCAATGCAATGAGACAAATCTGACAAAATTCACACCGAATGCCACATGAATTTTAGTTATTGAAATTTTGAGAAAGACTGAAAATTCATCATAATGAAAATCTGCTTATCAATGAGAGTGCACAACATTGTAACATTAGATTCAGAAAATGGTTTTGATTGGTTTTGATAGGAAGCTTTGTAAGTTAATCCCAAACATTTAATTCATGCTTCCAAAATTAACAAATTCTACAACTGCAAGAGAAACCCTACTTAAATATCTTAAATGCCAAAACCAAAAACTGCCCTTATCTGCTGGAAGATAAGATCCTACCATCTTCTCTGTATTCTCCACCACAGTCACATTCCCGTATCTGCATTGCCAAACACATAAAAACAAGGCAATCAAATCTCCATCCAAGAAAACAATTCAACATTGTTATGACATTATCTTTCTGTTTGATCCACAAACGAACTAATGATATATGTAGCATTTGGACCTCTCATTGCCAAAGTCATGAGTAGTATAAAAAATTAAAACCATCGATTTAATTCATTAAATTTGATCAACAAAAAAACACACAAAAAACAAGCCAAGCTATTAGAAATCGAAAGAGGGCTACATTTACGGTTAGGGTTTCTCAGGTTCTTACCTAAATCCAAGAGTTTGAACAACTTTCATACAGTTCAACTTAAATTCAATCTCCCAAACAAAACCACCAACCAAATCTTCAACATGCCAAGTTAAAACCGAATTAGTCCTAAATCTCAAGAATTTTTCAAATCTAAAAGTTAAAATTGAAGAAACCTACTTACATAGATAGGAAGCTCACCATGAGAGGATCACTTTTCTCTATTGGGTCGAAATCTAGTTTTGGCCGAAACTTGGCCGGTGAGTCCGGTTTGGTCATTTTAGAGGGAACAGAGAGGGAAGAAAGAACTAAAAATAAGGAAATATGAAAGAGATAAATATGAAGGATATGTGTGGGTTAAGGGTAGACCTGGCAATTTCTTACACGACCCGTTAACACGACACGTAAATGACACGAAAATAACGGGTTTCGGGTCAACACGATAACTAATCGGGTCATTATCGGGTTACACGATAATAACCCGTTAATAACGGGTCCTTAACAGGTTTACACGAGAGTGACACGCGGGTAACCTGTTTCGACACGATAAGAAAAATGCTATTTTGATGATTTTAATTTTTTAAACTACTAAAAAAAACTTACTATAAAATGCAATAGATATAATGAATATGTATATATTGTTTATTAATTATTATTCTATATAAACTTTAAATTTTAAGTTTTATTTATTTATTTATTTTTATAGTATATTATAGGCAAAGATTGAGAGTAAAAATCATAAAACACATTAAAAATAAAAATATCAAGTAATATAAAAATACCAAACACATAAAAAAATTATAATAATTAATTTCCCGCCTAATATTTCAAGAGTTTCATCCATTTCCCGCCTAATGTTTGAGAAATTTTGCAGCCTATATCCATCCATTTCCCACCTAATATTTAACCCAAAGAAACTCTAAGTGTTAGTTAATGTATCGTTTTGATGGGATACGCATCCTATGAAACAAATTTCAATGATCCAACCGTCAAACTTGTTTATATATGCTTCGAGATCGCATACGCCAAAATTTGCAAAAAAAAAAAAATATTCAGAGATCAAAAAACGAGACAAAACTTTTCAACGGTTATAAACGAAAAATCACGATTTAACGGTTGTTTTAACTCTGATTTTGATGATTTTTTACAGCTATACTCTTTGACCCTATATGAATATAATGAATGAATTCGATCTTCAATTTAAAATATTTACATTGGTGGATACCACAAAATCTTATGTTATACTTGATAAAAGTATAAATAAACTCTCAAGTGTTAGTGAATTTATCATTTTGATGGGATACGCATCTTACAAAACTAATTTCAACGATCCAACCGTCAAACTTGTTTATATATGCTTCGATATCGCATACACCAAAAATTGCAAAAAACAAACATTCAGAGATCAAGTAACGAGACAAAAAATTTTGACGGTTATAAACGAAAAATCACGATTTAACGGTTACTTTAACTCCGATTTTGATGATTTTTTACAGCTACACTCCTTGACCCTGTATGAATACAATGAATGAATTCGATCTTCAATTTAAAATATTTATACTAGTGGACACCACAAAATCTTATGTTATACTTAATTAAAGTATAAATAAACTCCTAAGTGTTATTGAATCTATCGTTTTGATGGGATACGCAACCTACGAAACTAATTTCAACGATCTAACCGTCAAACTTGTTTATATATGCTTCGAGATCGCATACGCCAAAAATTGCAAAAAACAAACATTTAGAGATCAAGTAACGAGACAAAACTTTTCAACGGTTATAAACGAAAAATCATGATTTAACGGTTATTTTAACTCTAATTTTAATGATTTTTTACAGCTACACTCCTTGACCCTATATGAATACAATGAATGAATTCGATCTTCAATTTAAAATATTTACACTAGTGGATACCACAAAATCTTATGTTATACTTGATGAAAATATAAATAAACTCTCAAGTGTTAGTGAATCTATCGTTTTGATGGGATACGCTTCCTACGAAACTAATATCAACGATCCAACCGTCAAACTTGTTTATATATGCTTCAAGATCGCATACACCAAAATTTGAAAAAAACAAACATTCAGAGATCAAGTAATGAGACAAAACTTTTCGAAAGTTATAAATGAAAAATCACGATTTAACGGTTATTTTAACTCCGATTTTGATGATTTTTTTATAGCTACACTCCTTGACCCTATATGAATACAATGAATGAATTCGATCTTCAATTTAAAATATTTACACTAGTGGATACCACAAAATCTTATGTTATACTTGATGAAAGTATAAATAAACTCTTAAGTGTTAGTGAATCTATTGTTTTGATGGGATACGCATCCTACGAAACTAATTTCAACGATCCAACCGTCAAACTTGTTTATATATGCTTCGAGATCGCATACGCCAAAAATTGCAAAAAACAAACATTCAGAGATCAAGTAAAGAGACAAAACTTTTCAACGGTTATAAACGAAAAATCACGATTTAACGGTTATTTTAACTTCGATTTTGATGATTTTTTACAGCTACACTTCTTGACCCTATATGAATACAATGAATGAATTCGATCTTCAATTTGAAATATTTACACTAGTGGATACCACAAAATCTTATGTTATACTTGATGAAAGTATAAAGGGTAAAGTACAAAAAACTACCCCAACTATTGCGGTCATGACAGTTTCATACCTCATCTTTTAAAAATGACAATGTCATACCGCATCTTACGAATTTGTGACAATGTCATACCTCCGTCAATTTTTCTGTTAGTTTTTCTGTTAAATGCTGACGTGGCAATAGACGGCGACCACTTTCTATTAAAAAATTAATAAAATATTATTAAAAACTAAAAAAAATATTTAATATTTTTTAAATATTAAAATAATAAATAAAAGTAAAATTATAAAAAAAAAAGGGTAAAGTACAAAAAACTACATCAACTATTGGGGTCACAACAGTTTCATACCTCATCTTTTAAAATTGACAATGTTATACCGCATCTTACAAATTTGTGACAATGTCATACCTCCGTCAATTTTTCTGTTAAGTTTTGACGTGGCTTGATTCGGGACATACTTTCTATTAAAAAATTATTAAAAACTAAAAAACAATTATTTAATATTTTTTAAATATTAAAATAATAATAAAAGCAGAGAAAAAAAAAACCATCAGTTTGTCCCTCCCCTCCCCCTCCCCCCTCCTGTCACATCCCAGCCCAGGGCGGATCACTTCCCAGGCCTGCTTCACCACCGTAGCACGATATTGTCCGCTTTGGGCTTACCATTCCCTCACAGTTTTGTTTTTGGGAACTCACGAGCAACTTCCCAGCGGGTCACCCATCATGGGATTGCTCTAGCCCCCTTCTCGCTTAACTTCGGAGTTCCTACGGAACTCGAAGCCAGTGAGCTCCCAAAAGGCCTCGTGCTAGGTAGGGATGGGAATATACATATAAGGATCACTCCCATGGGCGATGTGGGATGTCACAATCCACCCCCCTTAGGGGCCCGACGTCCTCGTCGGCACACACGCGATCAGGGTTAGGCTCTGATACCAAATTGTCACATCCCCGCCCGGGGCGGATCACTTCCTGGACCCGCTCCACCACCGTAGCACGATACCACGCCCTCACGGTTTTGTTTCTGGGAACTCACATGAGAACTTCCCGATGGGTCACCCATCCTGGGAGTGCTCTCGTGCGCTACTCGCTTAACTTCGGAGTTCCTACGGAACCCGAAACCAGTGAGCTCCCAAAAAGCCTCGTGCTAGGTAGAGATGAGAATATACATATAAGGATCACTCCCCTGGGCGATGTGGGATGTCACACCTCCTCTCTCTTCTCCCCATCTTCATTTTCTTCCCCCCATTTGCAAACCCAAAAAAATAAAAAAAAATAAAAAATTTTGAAAACCCAACAACCTCCTGTTGAAGAACAAGAAGGAGAAGGAGAAGGAGGAGGAGGAGGAGGAGGAAGAAGAAGAAGAAGAAGAGGACAAAAAAGAAGGAAGGAAAAAAAAAATTCCCCCTATCGGTGCGGAAGAAGAAGAAGGGAAAAGGAGAAGGAGGCAGAAGAAGAAGAGGAAGAAAAGGAGGAGGAAGAAGAAGAAGAGGAAGAAAAAATAAAAAACAAATTTGAAAACCCATCAACACCCCCTGCGGAAGAAGGAGAAGGAGAAGGAGAAGGAGGAGGAAGAAGAAGAAGAGGAAAAAAAGGAGGAAGGAAATTTTTTTTTTTTTTTTTTAAAAAAACCATCAACTCCCCTGCGGAAGAAGAAGGAAGAAGAAGAAGGAAAAAAAAATTATTTTTTTGAAAACCCATCAAACCCCAAATCCACCATTTTCATCCATTCTCCACATCCTCTTCCGCACCCATCCTCCACCTTCTTTGTGCACCCATCTTCCCACCGACGAGATCCCGTTTTTTTTTTTTTTTTTGGGTTGCAGGAGGGAGAAGAGTGTGGGTGTGGGTATGGGTGTAGGTGTGGGGAAATTGAGTGCGAGTGTGGGGGGAAGACAAATTGGATTTTTTTTTTTTTTTTTTCGGTTGGGATTTGCAGGTGGGGGAAGAAGATGAAGATGGGGAGAGGAGAGAGGAGAGAGGAGGGAGGAGGGGGGAGGGGAGGGACGAAATGAGGGTTTTTTTTTTTTTTTTTTTTTCGGCCTTTTACTATTATTTTAATATTTAAAAAATATTAAATAATCATTTTTTAGTTTTTAATAATTTATTAATAGAAAGTAGGTCACAAATCAAGTCATGTCAGCACTTAACAGAAAAACTAACAGAAAAATTGACGGAGGTATGACATTGTCACA